AAGTCTTTCAGTCTATTTTGTTAACTTATCTACTGTGGTTAATTCAATACAGTTCAGACAATTCGCATGCATACATTCCAGATATTTTCAGTAGTTGGTTTTACGTCATCGTTATACTGACTTACCCGAAAACCAATTGATCAGTACTGAATATATTGCAAACGAAATGTCTAAAAGCACTGAATTTACCGCATTGGATAATATTAAAAATGTACTGATAAACTGCGCATGACTTAACAATTCATCGTTCATATTTTCCAGACAGTGTTTAGATCAAAATAACCTTTTTAGACAGAATTGCATTTTAATACCAATGTTTGCACGCGAAATTATCCAAATGTTCATGTATTCATATTTTTGGTTCCAGACACTCGTAGTCATAGCATTTACATACAAAAATAATACGATGTGAGGATTTATTCGCAAGAACAACAACATATTTATCGCTAACAAAGAACAGAAATTTTACAGCTTCTTTGTCTTTAAATATGGTCTAACGTAAAATCTTTACACAGTTTTTTTAACTTGTGGATTCGATGTTTTATAAAAAAAACTTATAACAGTAACCCATGTGTCTAGTACATCCCTTTCTTGTTCTGCTTATGCTTCAACGGTATCCATTATAATGTTAAAGTTATATTTCGAACGTATGAGTCATTGCTCTCTAATTAGAGGATCATGATACAGCATTAGGAAGGATATTGAAATCTATTTATTTATTAATTATTGCATTTTAAGTGTCTTTATGTTCTTAATCTTAATGAAGAATTAATTCTTTAAAACAGACTAAAATCAGAAACAGAAACCAGAAGAGAATATTCGGAGACCCTAAAATCTCAGATATCAGCTTTAGAGGCGAAGAGAACGGAACAAGATTTAACTTATGATAACAACATCAGACAATTGATGGACAAAGAACACCAGGAGAAGACGAAACTAATCATTAGGTACATTACACAGATTTTATTTAAGTAGAAATTATCTCAATGTGTTACTTTTAAATCTATCCATTTTTATTATTGTACATCTAACCAAATAACACAACCGAAGAACGTGTCAACCATAGCATTAACAAATCAACAAAGAAGAAGTATCACATGGTAAATACTGTGAAAGTACTTTTATTCGTGGGGAACCAATTTTCGTGGTTTTCGTGGATGACTTTATCCACGAATTTAAGTGTCCAACGAAATATAACAACTGTCCAAATAAAGACATGAAAAGATTCCCATGTAGGTTTGGCTACCGATATGATCTAGAGAATACATTGAATATCGGCAAATCTGAGACTACTATAATAGTAGTCATAGGGCAAATGCTCCATGAACTACAACTGCAGGCAGTATTATACGCATTTAATCTTTAAAAACCTGAACTGTACAACTTCTGATCGTTTAATTTTCATAAAAAATATTTTTGACCGATGAAAGTCAGATTTCCGGTGATTATATGCTATGATAAAGTGTTCATTTCATATCTTCATAATTCTTTTACAGCATGTACGGTAAATAACAATTTCATGCTAGGTTTGCTTTTGATAAGAATTAATTTTACAATTCAATGTACATTTATAACATTTGTTTATGTAACTGATTTCTTTAAGTGACATGTTTATGGTCTAATTAACACCTTTGATGGTCTCTAATCTGTTGATCACTCGATCTCAGGTTAATTAGTGTCATCACTACACGGGTGCAACAATTTAAATGTTTACTTTGCAATTTCCTTCAATCGAGACAATTTGTAATCTTCGTTTCTAATGGCTTCAATTCTCCACTCTTTTTTTTTTATAAAACTAAAATCCACGAAATTAAAAACCCACGAACATGTGACTTTTGCTCTCACCACGAAAATTGATACCCACGAATTAAAGTACTTTCACAGTATTCGAACTATTGTTCAGAAGTAATACTTTCCTTGCGGTCAACTCAATACTGTAAAGAGTGTTATTTTAGTTCCAAAATTTACATGTTCATGTGCAGAATACAAATGTATATATTCACACACTCACAAGAACCAAAACGTGCTGTTAGTTAGGTTACACAATTATATCAGAAATATCTGAGTTATTGATTTTTGTATCTACATTCTGTGGTCTAAATTCATTTGCTAACATTTATATTCAACGGTAAAAGATAAATGTACAATAATGTTCGTGCTCATTGTATTTCTAAATGGATGTTATCTTTGTCATCTTTCAGTTTTAAATCACAAAAAAATGAAATGATCAACGAAATGGAATTGTTGATGAAGAAAATTGCTGAACTATGTAAGGATAAGGAGCACAATGAGTTAGTTTGGAAAAAAACTGAAAGCCAACTAAAGGCATCTATCAAGGAGGAAAAAAGAAATAAACAAGATGCGCAAGATGAAATTAAGAATTTACGAATGAAAGAAAAAAGGTGAGATAAAAAAGATGATATAAGGAAGTCATAAAAAAATATTTATTATATATATTTCGCAGATTTAACATTGATATGCTGATATTTAGAGTAATTATGAATATAATATGTGTTTTAAGCCGTGTATCACCTTTACTGGTGATCAAATGGATGGCTCTGTCGTAGAGTTGTCACTTGTATAGACGTACTTATCATATAACAATTTATGTAACTGTATCTTACGATCCTTTACGATAAATAATTAAGCTAATCTGCAATCAATACCAACTTCATGTCTAATATATCATTTACTGTGTTACAACTCTAGATTATATTGACGATCGAAGGTAACACTAGGCCACCTAAAGCTGAATTTATAGTTCAGTCTAGGTGTCCGAGTGGTCTAGAACGCTGGACACATTGCAGGCGGTATTGTCTCTATATCACAATAGCATGATTGTCGTGCTGATATTTAGAGTAATTATGAATACAATGTGTGCAGGCTTATCGAAATGTTTGACTTAATTTCTGTGTACAATTCTTACAACAATAAAATGTATACGTCAGAAATATTGTCATTACATATAACCAAATACTCTACAGCATGCTCATTTGAATAACACAGTTTTTCTCTAAATATCAAATAGTTCTTCGTGTTTTAGAAAATAAAACAAAAAACCTGAAAACAGCCACAATGATTTTAACAAGAAAGCGTTGGAACCTAAATTCTTAATTATTTCTCATCAATCATATGTTACAAAATATATCATGACTATCATTTTGAATATCATGTCGATCAAAAAATTAATTTTTTTTAGGTGTGAATCGCAAATAAAGGAACTCGAAAAGGAAAACGAATCACAAAAGATAGATTTGATGAACCTAAATGCACATATAAAACGCAGTGAAGATGCATGGCAAAAAGAAGAGAAGACGTTGCGAGACACTATCGAAACTGAGGAAAGAAATTGTCAGAGAGCAATCGAAGCATCAGATATTTTGCAAGCGAGAGAGAAGGGGTAAGATAGTTTAACCTCCAATGTCAATTGATGCCAAAAGTCTGGAAGTGATAAAATGAGATGCTTTATATAGGTGCATTTTGAATATCAATAGATATGAATATAAACTGTATTGTTTATGTTTTATGTGCAATTAATAAAAAAGTCGTCTGCTTTTTCAGAAATTTTGTTAGTTAGATAAAAGATTTGACATACTTATATGCCCATGGTCTTGAACAACCTTTGACTGCTTTCACTAGTCTATCAGAATATGTTCATTTCGTTACCATGGTTACCGTACGCTAAAGCTAAATTTTATATTAAAATCATAAAGATTGTCTCATTATTCTTGTATTAAGATTTGAAAAAGAAATGGAACGAAAGCGAAAGGTTGTGGAAGAAAATGAGTCACTTGTAAATGAAAAGCGATATCTGCATGAAGAATTGGATCAAAAGTCAACAGCATACGAAAAAGTGAGAGAAAAAGTAAAAGAAAAAGAAAACGAGATAACAAGCCTAAAAACAAGAAATAAATAATCCACTGATAAGTTAAATAAAGAAATCAGTACACTTAAAGAAAGGTAAGACAATTGTTGATATAGTTACGTATTTCAATACATATTACGCAACCCAATCTTTTTTGTCAAATAATATACGTAACAGTTCAGGATTTAAGATGTAAATTATGTCAAAATAGTTTTTCAGACTAAGTCGAAAACATCTATGATAAGAGAGGCAACAAAGATACATTGATAACTTCAACTTCTTCTTCTGAGAAAAACAAAAGACCTTGAAACTTATCCTTTACGACTAGAAAATGATGTGCCTTTTCAATTTTATTCGTTTAATAGCGTTAAATAATTTCACTATGATTAAACGTTAAATAATCGCAAACATCGAATGCATCAACCTGTTAGTCTACAGTTGTTTTATCAAAGGATAGTCCGTAAAAAAGATTCAACTACAATATGACAACATTCTTGTGTTAACCGTAAATAATATGTTTTTGTTCTTTTTTCAAGAAAGTTCTTCTTATCTCGTAAATAAATCACTCATCAAACGCTTATTAAAAGTGATTATTAATTGATATATATATGTATGCTATACTCCGAGACTATTGTTTACGTTGCGATCAGTGGTAAACATAGCAACCCTTTAAAACGATAATGAATTATTAATACACCTTGGAAGTTAGATAAAAAAAAAAACGATCGGTGGTGCATTGTTTGAACTCAAAAAGGGTAATGTGATACGGAATTTATGGTTTTCTCAAAAAATGTCTAACGACACTTGAAAAGATTCCACAAGTCCTTTAAATGTGAAAAGAATAATGGCCATTACGTTTCGAACATCAATTAACATCCTCAATGAAGACGAATTTGAATAATAACTGATGGATATTTAGATATATGAAATAATGTTTCCAAGCAGTCAATATAACATTGTCGGAAATGACAATTTTGAACATCTACATGTAACGTACTATGGCCTTGATATTCATTATTTTTTGCTGCTCTGTCTGTGTTTCTGTCGTTTTTAATGCAAATGTACAGAGTTATTTTTCAAGAATAAACTTATATTTAAATATTTGCTGAATTGATTTTTTTTCCATTGTAGTCTTATCGAAAGAGAAAATCGCTTTACTACATTGCAAGAAACATATGATGAAACAAAGAAAAGGTAAGCTTGAAAAAAAATGCAAACTAAATGTGTGCATGTTTGGCTGGCATAAAGATTAGAGGGTATTATGTGTTTCGATATGTGCATTCGTCCGTCATTCTTTGCATCCGTCCGTCTTTCTTTGCATCCGTCTGCTATTTGTTCTTTCTTTTAATTCTTCTGTGTCCATTTGTTGTTTCGTTTGTCTATGCTGTATTATGTTAGTCCGTCTAATATTCCGCTCGTCTTTACCTTGTTACATGTTTGGTCAAAAACTTGGTACAATTTGTGTAGAATTACCACCATATCGGATCATTTGGCGTTTATAAACGCAGTTTGATAGTCATTGCGTGGTAATGCGATGTATAACAACAACACACAAAACCACCTAATGTAAAAGCTACATCCATTATTAACAGTTTGATGTGAAATAAAATATCAACCTGTTATTTTAAAAATCTTGTTAATATAATGAACAACATGCAACAGTTTATTAATCATATGTTCTTAAAGTCTGTTTTTTTTTGTCTTGTTGTTATCATATTTTTTAGTTCACAGTTTCTACAGGATAGTGTCTGCTTGAATAACATACCAAATATATTGTTTGCCTATATGAAAACTTTAGTTGAAAAAGCATACATACTGTAGAGGACATCACTGTCTTTGATCATTCAATCTGACTATACATGCATATACAGTTCGTAGAATGGTAGTATTTGATTAAAAAAAAACTGCCAAAACATAATACTTAATAACACCAGTATCAATATGCGTTCTTAACGAGTCTTTAAAGTAAACTGACTGTCTTTACCTCAAAAGCATAAACACGGTCAGGTTAACCTTCAGGGCCACCTTCGGTCACATCCAGTTTACTGTGGAGTTTATGTGCACAGTCTGAAGGTTTCTGGTGTTTCGTGGACTTTTTTGGGTTTTTTGTCGTCATTTGTGTTTTTGTAATTTGCATTGTCTGTTTGTCTTGGGTTTGATTGTTCTCTTTGTAATTTGGTAACTTTTTCTTTGGACGTTAGACCAAAAATTAACAGACGTTCTTATCAACTTTATATATACTTATTTTATTTACCAAGGCTTTAATATTAATTCTAATGAAAAATTCTAAAAATATGAATTGCAGTTAGAAGCTAAAATATTTACGTTTTGACTTAACTTTGACATAAAATATATATCGTTGAAATGTCAGTCTTGAATCATATTACTTAAATGTGCTATAACTTTTTTTGATAGACGTATTTTTATTTATATTTATAATTATCTATATAGATTGTTTAAAGCAGAAGAGCATATCGCGATTGTAAAAGACAAAACGAATCGACATCTTAATGAAGATGACAATCGAACGGATAGAAGGTAAATTTAAGATAAACAAGGATTGATTCCTGTGAAATATTTATCAAATAATAAATGGTAAGTCATTTGTATAAATAATACTGGGCGAGTATGAAAGTTTCCCGCAACACAACGGGTAAACAAGTGGAACGAATTTGTTAACCTACAACAGGTCCTGACAATATAATCAGATTTTGGTTGCGTTCGTATTGCTATGTAGTGTTTCTACCGGTTTAGTCGTTTCAATATTTGTATGTTTGTTTTGGTTTTTTTTTGGCTTGTTTTGAATGTTCTTTTGGTCACACTTTTAAAAATTACTCTGAAGATCTAAATTTCAGATATATTTTGGAAAATTGATGTCAATGTTGCCTGATTACATTTGGATAAATGTATTCACTTACATTTCTGATGTATAGTGTATGCCAAGTATAAACACTTTAGCACTGCCTCGACACAAATAACCAATGTTATAACTAATGTATACCAAAAAGAGCAAAAGCCAAGTCTTTAAAAACAATAGACAACTGTCTAAACATCCAAGCGCCGAGGTTGAACTGTTTTTGTAAAGACTTTAATCTTCCCTGTTTTGATATCTTTATTAATGGACTAACATAAAATGGTAATGCAACAAAAAAAAACAAATTCAGAATATTTAAGATAACCCTGTTAATCGATCAATTGATTATACTTTGATACAGAATGCCTAAATGACTTGAAGCAATTTCAAAGTACTTTACTAGCGGATGCTAAATGATGGCCTCGCGTCTGATACTTTATATTGTATAAAGAGTTAACAAGAATCACTTTTGATTTTAGCTTAGTTTTCATTTGTCCGTTATGCAATAAGTCTGTCTTTAACTTATGATAAGCATAGCCCGGTTGACATCGTTCCCTTCGTTTGTTCGATTTGATTTTTGATTATTTTTTTTTTTGTGTTCTAACGCCACTTTTATGCACCTATTTTGGACTATTTCGTGTCAGCCAGTTTTATTGATGGAGGAAGCCGGAGTGCCCTGAGAAAACCACCGACCTTCGATAGGAAAACTGACAATGCTAGTCAATTAAGATTGGAGTCGAGTGCACCTGCACGAGCGGGGTTCGAACTCACAACCTCAGTGTTGACTGGCTAGTGATTACAGTAGTAATTACTTAGACCACTCGGCCACCGAGGCCCCTCCCTTTTGTATATCCATTCAAAACAACAATATCAAAACCCATGATATTTGCATATACATTTTTATACCTGCACAGCCTTCGCAGACTCCATAACAAAAATTACAATATGGAATACATTTCATTTACATGTTGTCGTTACTAAAAACTTTAAACCGGAATATATGAAAAGTTAGATTTTAACATCACAAACATTATTATTTTACTAATTATATTTAACAACAATGCACAACGTGTATTTACACATTCATATTAATAAAAAAAAAATGTACGATATAATATAAGAAGTAGAATTATATACTTTGCATTGTATCACATTACAAAAGCTGTACGATGACCTGTAGCATGTGTAGGTGGAACAAACTCTTGTTCTTACACTGTAATTTACTTACGTAGTTGACTTATTTACTTTTGAAGGAACGCTTTGACCATGGACAACAACAGTAATAGCAAACAATCGAAATTGATATTAGCATCAACGTTAAATTTTGGTCGTCATAGAGACACCTTCAGGATTTCTCGTAACAATCAAGACAGAAACAAGTTAAAGGAAAGGTGAGGATATTATCAATCAGAGTATGAAACAATATAGAAAAAATACCGACTCCAAGGCAAACTCTAGAAGAGGAATCCATTAAAACTGGCAAAAATCAACCGCTATGAAAGAACGGAACAAGTGAAAAATAATTGCCATATCCTTTAATTGGTCATGTAGGTGATTTGAAGATTTTAATTACTAGTAATTGAATCCTAACTAAACTCAATATTTCTGATGTCAACGTATACATTAGTTCTTTAAAACAGATTTCTCTTTAGAAACACTATAATAGAGAATGTCTTTATAATCGTTTCTTGTGGTTATTACAGAAGAGAAGCCGACAAAGTGATCGGGTATATGAGAAATAATTATCCTATACATCTTCTTAAATTAAAGCTATATACCTACTTGTATTTTATTTTTTGTAAGTTTTCAACATCAATAGTGACGTTCCTTTAAACTTAGAGTGTGGTATTTAAGCTGAGGTCCACATGTGAACGGGTTGCACACGATGCCTAACAGACTTATTATACAATATGATTAAAGTCGTTGAGAATAAGCGCCAACTACGCAGCGGCTGGAATGAAAGTGGCCACAGCGTTATCGGCAATAAACGGCACCTTTCATTTGATTTACAGACCACACACGGAGAAATTAACTCTAGACAAATACACTGACATTGCCTTCATACGCAGGTCATTGTGGAAATAGGAATCATACACGATGCATACGCAGTAGTTTCCTAGGACACCAGAATAATGTTCAATCATTAAATATATTCCCTTCAATTGAGAATCGATTTTATTTACATAACCCCTAGTCCTTTTAGCTGATAAAATATACCAATTTCTTTCTCTCCTTGTTGCCACTTTAAGTGTTTTCAATGTTGAGCTAAATCAAGAGGAGAGCAAATGAAATGCAAAATCGAAAAAAATAATAACTTGCGATTATCGGAGTGTCAGATATAAGTAGAACCTACTATAAGGCGCTTGACAATATTCCACGTTATTGGTCGCCTATTGAGACATCAGAGATTACAAAATACACCAGACTATAGAGTAATGTGGTTATGATAGCAGATCTGGAGCGACAGAAAATGTTTAAGAACTGTAATTTTTTTAACTGATATTTACCATGTAAGTTGTATCAACTTGAACTGAAAACTTGCTGTACAATCGACCCATCAAAAAATTAAATGTGAACCAAATTTCAAAAAGTGATCGACACACACTTGAATACCTTTCTCGTGATGTCCTATATTCACAATCAATGAAATCAGAAAATGTTCACATGTTCGATGTATAACATGTGTATTAGCATGATTAGGAGGACACAAAGACATCGTTGATAAGTATGCTTGGTCTTGAAGTCCATATTCTAGGTAATGATGTTGTTTATCATCTTAATTAGGTGTTATGGTTTTCTTTTTATTTGTCTTTGTACATTTTTACCTTTACTTTTTAGTCCATTTTTGGGAATATACCATTGGCGTGGTTTGGTATTGTGTAACTGTGCTATGGTAATTTTTTTTGTATTATTGTCTTTCATTTTTGCTTAAGTATTTTGTCTATAGAATTTCTATATGCCATTTTGTTATTCTTTGTTGACTGCTGTATCCCAATTTTTGACAATTTTACCTATTATGTCTGTTTGTTATAATGGAATTCTATGCGACTGTCATACAATAGGTTAAGATAGCTATAAAACCAGGTTTAATCCACCATTTACTACAAAAGGAAATGCCTGTACCAAGTCATGACAGTTGTTTTCGATTCGTTTGATGTGTTTTTAATTTTCTATTTACATTTTCATTTTGATATTTACCATGTAAGATTTTAATTTTGCCATTTAATAAAGGACTTTGTGTTTTAAATTTTCGTAAGAGGTCAATATTTTTGCTATTCTACTTTTGATACCTGGCTAACACAACGAAAAGAACATAAGTTTGTCCGGTTAAAATCAATAATCCGTGTTTTGACACAGTCCCCACATTTCAAGTTAATTTGACCACTTCAGCGTCAGTCTATACCTTTTCGTAACACTTCTACTAGTTTCTAATAAAAAAAAATCTTGGGAAGATATGAAAGGTAATTATGAATTGCATTTGCAAGTGACAAGACATTGTATCCCTTTATGGTGTAACCTCTAGATCGAAAATTAGTTTTTGACTGGGGTTATTTAGAAACATGAGATACATGAATTTTCAATTTCTATATTACAGAATAAAAGAATTGGAAGATAAACTGAAAATTCAACAATCTGTCCGTGAACAAATGGAAAAATTGTAAGCTAACCCTAGCCAGAGCAGTTTAAAAAAAAACCATATAATGCAAAAGTCAACGAAAGTTAATGTATGCATGGTATATACAGACATATTCTTAAGCAATGTATCTCATACAGGATAAGTATGCACAACAGTTTAAACCATTGGTCCACTAAGAAAATTGTATCGCATGGTACGAACAAAACCAATGAGAATTATGGTAATGGAAGATTTTGCATTGATGAGATTTTTTTTTAGATTAAAGTAGCAAATAATTGATATTTGTTTTACATTTGAAGGTGAACCGAATCTAACATTTTAACGTCTGAAACAACAACTTTACAATTTAATATGACACCGTCTTACCATCCATATAGGTTCATCAAATAACATTAAAGTAAACAAGCGAACGATAAAATAATATTTTAACATTTTACGGGCTGTATATGTAACAAAATACGCACCTGTAACTGATAACCAATATTACTTATATTTTACAATGGTTTCATTTGTTTCATCTTTTGATTGCAACAGTTCTGTAACACATTTAATGTCTCCAATATTTACTAGTAATACATGACAGCGCAAACGTTATAGGGACCTCAATGTTTGACCAGGGTTGTATTTGGTTCGTTTGGATGAATCAGATTTCTTGTTTAATGTTTTATATATTTTGCTTGTAATTTTACCATGGTCATTCCTGACAAGAATGTCAGCTACGCCTTATGAATCTCGAATTAAATCCCTAAAGTATGTTTTTTTTTGTTTTTTTTTTATTACTGCAAATGCATCATGAAAACAAAATTTAACCTTTTATTTTTTTCCTCCGAATCTTATACATATGAGACATTATCATTAAAACAGACGTATAATGCATACATAAAAAGAAGACTTTTTTACATGTAAATATACTTTCTTGAATAAAAAAACAAGGAATAATATAATTTCTATATTACAACATGCTTTCGTTGGTTAAACATAGATTAAAGGGAACTTGCTAAAAGAGAAAACATTTTCTCAATACATACACGATACGGAATATTTCCAATATCACATAAAAAATCATATTTTTTTTTTACAGGGCTATATCAACAGAACGACAATTGAAAGATAAACGACAAGAAATTGAATACTTTGAACGTACAATCGAAAGACTACAAACCGATTGTAAAGGATTCAAACTGAAGTATGTTCATTTGATTACTACATGTAACATGTGTAACTACATTGGTCAATGTTACCTGTTGGTAGGAAATGAAAAAAGTTAAGATTTTTTATTCAAAATAAAAAATGTCTACAAGACAATTCTATTGAACAGCATTAACACGGTAGAAATTGCAAGACAAAGACCAAGCTCATGTATCGAAAAAAATATTAATTTGAATATATCTTAGAATAAAAACTTATTGTGAAACTATTATAACTATTGTTAATTTTTTTAATTCTTTTTTTATAAGTTTAGAAAGTGAACAAGTAAATAAGAGAAGACTGGAGTCTAGGTAAGTTAGAACTAATGTGATTTCTAACTATTGACCATATTTAATTTGCACAAGATGATGATAATGATGATTGATTGATTGATTGATTGATTAATTGATTGGTGTTTTACGCCACTTTCAATACTATTGTGTTATTTCTTGGCGGTAAGTTTTTATTGGTGAAGAAAGCCAGAGGAGGAGGAGAAACATTTTCTTGAATTACTTGTTCTAATAACTGTTATACATTAATGGTACCGTAATTTCCTTCTTATGTATATAAAGTTAACAGCGCATCGCCAAATTCGTTCTGTGACAACTTTAGACACAGTTTTATTTTAACGTGTTGACTTTCAGCTCCGAAATAGTTCCAAATTAGGGATTTTGGTGACATTTTTACAAAATATACTCGGATTTCGTCTAAATTTAACCATAGGAAACATAAAGTGCAGGCCTCGATATACTAACTATTCAAGTCATATATGTAAAATGTTAAAACACACATTATGTTCAATGATTTTTTGTACACATGCGCTGTATGTTTCCAGTCCACGAAATTTATGTAAACTTACCCGTTTTCATTGACTATTATTGGAAAATCAAAAAGAGTGTTATTTGTAACATCATGAAAAGAACGCTGGTACGTTGATTTTCTACAAAAATACATAATATCTCCATTTAGTCGTTGTATCAGATATATTATATATGAATCGTTGTAATATTGGTAAATCAATCCTAATTTGAAATTGTATCTAGAAGTAGGGGTCAGGTTAAGGCCTCACTGAACCTACTCCTCTACTTTAAATTTTCATACAAAATGAAATAGTACAAGGAACAATGTTTCTTTTACATATTTATAAATGATTTTTTGTAGAATGCAAACATCGAAAAATTTAGAGGAAGAGTATATGGAACTGTACTCAACCATTGAACAAATCAAAAAAGAGACGGACGATTCAGAAAAACGGTACGTTCATTCAGAATTACAATAATTATTGTCATTTTGATATGATACAAGTATCCTATATTTATTGGATAAACACATCTAATCTTATTTGCCCTTTTGTATATTAAATAATCCCGTAACTTTACTTGTCGAATAATTGCATGTATAATAAATAAAGAACATCATATTGATTCTGTTTCCGATATGTTTTTGGTATGATGGGAAAGTCCGAGTCATATACTACGAGGCACTAATACTTTATGGTAGCACATGGAGTAATTTGTAGAGGATATTTTGAAAGACTACACTAGTCTTTGATACGCAATTACAACTTTATTTTTACATTTGAAAATAAGTAACAAAGAAATGTTTCATTTATAGTTTTCATAATCGAACAATAAAAAAATGGCATATGATAGGATTTTATAATGGAATGTTCTAATAAATTAAATGTCCATTTCTAGAATAGACGAATAAAGTGGCTCTAAATTGGCCTCCACCTTACAGTTAACTGTTGATCAATTGTAAATGATTCAAAACATATGGATGTTTCATGTACTAAAGGCATTCGTTATCTTAGCTGAATATGTGTTCAGTTTTTTAACTCTGTGAATTATGTGTTCTCCAACTTGATTGATATGATCTTTCCACTGTTTTGATTCGAGTTCATATAAATTATCCATTTTATTTGTTATGATAATAAGGTTTGTGATAATCACATCGAATTTTTAAGAATACGACTTTCTCCAATGATCATTGCATTTAAGGGGAAACTATAGGATTATGGTTTGTTTTACTAAGTGTTTTTATGACGAGGAATGGTTGATCTTTTTTCTGTGCTCCATATGATGTATTGAAAACAACAAAGCAGTAAATATGTATCAAGCAAATATGTGCCAAACTAAATTACAAATTCAGAACCTAGTTGAGCGAACCGAGTAAAAAGTAAACGGCACTGCAGTAGGAAATAGGACCATTTTATTCTGTTAATGGTTCGGTCAATGCATACTGTTTGTTTCATTCCAAAAACTAAACAATCATTTGCTTTTCATTGACATTAAGTTTTTCTATGTTTTATAAGGTTTCTCTTAAATATTTCTAACTTTTATTATTGTACTGTCATTGAACCAGAAATTCTTATTAAATACCACCGCTATCACATTAACAAATTGCATACGTACATTCTTCTTTCAGCCGCATCGAATTCGTTTATTTATCTTAAATTTGCCGTGTTGTGTTGACTTTTGTTTGTTTAATCTAATTAACTTGTAAATATTGTCATAATAATCTTTTCTGACACTTATGTTTTATTAAAAACAGGGATTCGTGTATATCGTTTAAATGAAGATTTTATATATTTTGAAAATGATGTAATATGTAAATCGTTGAAAATGTATATTTCAATGTATATTCAGAATAAATATTATATATTTTTAGTACAGTATAATACAATGCAAGGTGGTCCGAAATCTCTCATTTGATTTGGAAATACGAATTAAAGCATATCAGTGTTCACTATACTGCATTATACATGTAACAAAACCAATAGAGTTTATTCCAAAAATTGACTTCAATAATGGAAAACGCCGGGAGTCGGATTTTTGATGTGAGCATATCCTTATCTTGCCCTCGAACGATTTAAGAAAGACATAAGCACGAAATAATCAATACATCAATAGTTTACATGAATAAACGATAGATGGTGTAATTTTCTTTGTTCCACAAAAAAGTAAAAGACGAAAAATGGATATAAAATAATTATTCATAATTTACTCCTCAGTTTTAACCGTAAGACTATGTTTCTTCGACAAAGTAACATTAACCTCGACAATTGTTTGCTTCAGCAGGACAAAGTTGAAATCAGGATGTATCACGGTAAATGTATCTAACAATATATTATTGAAACAGACTTTATTTTAATAACTTGTGTAGATGCAATATCTTCTAGAATTATTTCAAGTTATATTCGCTTACAGATTGCAAGAAAACCCAGGATTTCATACACAAGAGTTGATACTAATGAATCGCTTAAAGGAACTGTTAGGAAGGTAAGAACGTTTGTGCAAAACACGTGTTATACACCATTCCTCTAAATTTAATAGAGAGAATATTCAACTTCTGATTAAGAGAGTTTATTACTTTTTAGTCATCAAAATACGTTTAAAAGAGGAGCGAAAGATACCAGAGGGAAACTCAAACTCATAGATCAAAAATAAACTCCATAAAATATAAGTGTTACGAGAAGCATCAACAAGGTGATAATATTTCTTATCAAGACATTTAAAGGTAAATTGAACAGTTTCATCTTCTAACTGCTGTTGGAATATTTCAAGTGGCAGTTACAAAATGCGTTCTAATGCCTACAATATAATGAGTAAATAATCAAATAACTTGATAGGCTAGGCTATAGTTGGTACTGGAATGAGAGCGCTATAATTGACGGTCACTTGAAAAGGCCGATACATTAGATATGATATGGTTATGTCGTACCGCAGGTCATATATGTCAACTTTTATGATTTATTCAAGTTATCTGTTAAACATGATGTGTTTGATAATACAACTACCTCTCTTGGTTGAAGGTAAAATGTTCATATACTAAATGTGCGGATTATCAGGTATTGTATCTTACTAACTACTGTGCCCTTGAATACTTTTCTTGGCTGATAATTTCAAAAATTTTGCCAAATGATATGAAATTATTTACTTTTCCACTTTAACTCATGCATATGTTTCCTTAAATACGGTAAAAATAAACCAGCAATCATGTAACATTCTGTTTCAATTTTGTATTCTGTATCTGCTTTATCGTGATTATGAACGAAAATTGTTTTTACAGCCGCTTTACTACAATTACGCTTCACACTTAAAATAAGAAAATAGGAAGATTATGTATGATTCAATATAAGACAACTCTCCACCAGAAACCAAAATGACATAAAAGTTAACAACTAGCGGTCTCAGTAAAGCCTTCGAGAGTGTGCAAAACCAAACCAGAAAGTAAGCATTGAATGGCCCCAAAATGACAAATGTTTGCCTGTCTAAAGCCTGTGGTTCTCTCCTAGGAAACTTTGGCTTCCTCTATCAATCAAATATCACAATAGTCTTAAAAGTGGAGTTAAACCCTAATCAATCAATCTATCAATCTTCATGTTTCTTCAACAATTTGCGAAACTCTTACCATATAATAAGCTTTTAAAGCCCAAGAAATAACAAATGCTTTGGTTCTTATTCATCCTTAGCTTAAAAATATTTGACTCTTAGCGTTCTTTATGACGGGAAATCAATGTTAATCCAGTAAGTGCTCGAGTTGCTATAAATATGAGATCAAAATATTTCTATAATATTTCGATAATCTTATTATTGCAGAATGCAAACAAATGGGAACTATGAATTCAACTCAACAAATCAAAGAACAATGTAAGTGTTTATCGAAGACCTATTAAAGACTTCTGGTATTTAAGTTAAGTACAATTAAGTAAACGCCTATCAAACAAGCAATGTTAATGGTTCTCGTCAAAAGCTAAAACACATCAATCAAATGGAAAAGAACTGTCATATTCCTGACTTAGTACAGGCATATCCTTATTAGAAAAAAGTGGAGTAAACCCGGTTTTCTAGCTGATTAAACCTCTCATTTAGTATGACACTCGCATTAAATGAGGTACATGTTACTCCCAGATATTTGAAAAGACAGCAAGGAGAAGCTGAAGTATGATATTCATCTGAATTTCATCTAAGACATATCATTTAACAAGAATAATGGTTTATCAAGGGTGTTCCTTTTTTTAATGGTTGTGTATGTGTCAACTTTGTGATTAGTTTTAGAGGTTTAGTAATGTTGTTTATGTTCTTGTTTTTACTTGCTATATGCTTTTAAGTAATGATCAATTTTGTTAAACTAATCACATTTAAAAAATGCGTTGTTTTTTTATATTTCAGAAAATCGTATAATATAAATAACAGCCAAGTATTTTTCAATAATAAATCGTTGATTCGCCATGGAAACTCAGACGACTGCTGATGACTTTAAGTACTTGAACAGTAGAAGTTATATTTTTATGTTACAAGTTTAATTTGTAATTATTAAATTATATGTATATTTGTTATCTTTATTAACACTATCTATGCCATTACTTTTTTTAGCCCCTGGCAATTGTTTATTAGATTTGTTTATTAACCTTGAGCTTTACGGCTCATCAGTGTATTTAAACGCACTATATGCATATGACATATTACAAACAATATAAACAATATGCATGAATAGCAGTAGGTGATTTCAGAAGTTTCAAGTTAAAAACATTCTTTACAATAACCGGTCTTCTCATATTAAACGAGAAATGTTTTAATTACATTTAAAGTTTAAAAACTTTTTTTTTCATCAACTTATAGTACATATTACTGTGAAATTTGATGACCAAATCCTTTATCATTTCTTTATATATTTTTAAGCAAATCGGAACATCTGCTTGTCAATTAAATGTATTTTCATGTATGTTAGTTCCAATGTGACGTCCTGTTTCAATACAAATAATTGTGAATACAAACGAATCTTTGTTATACATTTGCGAAAAGGAACAGGTATGGAATACATTTCTGTAAATGTAATTATAAATACTTCCATATTTATTCTTGATGTATAATCTAGCCTTTGAAGAAAAAATGTAACTCCTGTTTAGCCTTAGATGTATAATTAGAGGTAAATATAACCTTTCAACTTTCAACAGCTACTGATTATTACACAAATTATTCATACCATGAATACACGACAATTAAAGTACAAATGTTGCCCAGCATTTACATTCTACACATGCTTTTTAAACCGAGACCTAAATATACAATAATCACTTACTAAACATTTAAGCCATTATTTTAGTATTCTTAAATTCCCTTCATACTAAAATGGAAATTTACCTAATGCATAGTAGACCATTTAATTCAACACACACCCCACCCCTCTTTCATTATTATATGCATACTTTTAGTTCACTAATAAATGAACTTTGACATACCAGCACATGCAATTGATTTATTTTGCATATCTTGTTTTTCATAAAAATGTCGAAATGAAGACTGCCACAAGGAAGCAAGAATAATTTAAGTATTTAACGGTCATTTTGATCTCAACTTAAACTGAAAAATCTAAACTATTACTCATTATGTCATGTTCAGTCTTCCGTTAAATTTTCAGACTTTGCCCCTCAGTAAATTCAATGTTGTTAAAATTCCGGCTGATGGAATTGAAACATAGAAACAACTGAATTAACGTATGTCTAACACACCAATACCAAATTGAAAATAACATTCTTTTTGAATGAAAATGACACTTCATCAATTTCGTGCGTTCGAAGCACTTTTCTGGATTTACTTTCTTATGAAACGAAACGTTTGCAAGTAAAGGATGTATGAATATATCGAAAATAGCCACCTTTAACAGAGGAGGCTGTGCTTTTTTTTTATTAAATCGTCAGGGGAGAGTTTTATAAAATATATTTAAAATCGTGTAAAAGTTCTGGCTGCTGAAATAGAGATACTACCCTCGGGATAGATATACATATATTGTGATTGAGCATGCAACCATGGTTACCCATAAAAATATAAAACACACCAATGAACAACGACTGCTCGACTGTACTATCAAAATACATTTACAATGTAACCGTACTGTAAATATAAACTGAACAATCGATGACAAAATGTAACTTTCATGAAATTTAATCAGACTGCCAGACTACAGTTGTTTTACATTCTCCTGAAATTAATGCAAATAGATATAAGAAGATGTGGTATGAGTGCCAATGAGACAACTCTCCATTCAAGTCAAAATTTATAAAAGTAAACCTTTATAGGTCAAGGTACGGTCTTCAACACAGTAAGCTATAAAGGGCCCCAAAAATTACTAGTGTAAAACCATTCAAACGGGAAAACCAACGGTCTAATCTATATAAAAAACGAGAAACACTATGAACCACATCAACAAACAACAACTACTGAACATCAGATTCCTGACTAAGGACAGGTGCAAACAAATGCAGCGGGTTTAAACGTTTTAATGGTACCAAACCTTCACCCTTTTTCTGAAACAATAGTGTAACATCACAACATAGAAAGACACACTATAAAATTTGAACTGAAATAGCTTAACTCAATCAAAGGACATATTTACACCAGTGAACATACACTGAACATAAAAATTTGACCTATGATACAATGTAAATACAAAAAACATTGTTCAGAATATATTTATTTAAACACGCATAGAAACAAATGTTACATTATCAAATTACAGTTAAAAAATCAATAAGACTATGCAGTCAAAACATTTCTACAGTTAACACTAGTAGGTTGTTCCCGAAAATGCATGCACCTTTCGGCAAAATGTTCTTATCGAAATTATTCCTGATTACAAATGTTGTTGTCTTGGTAACAACAACGGTACCGCAGATTAGGAAAATTTCTCATGACATAAAACGAACGCCATCTTCAGGTAAATCTTAAGTTTATAATATAAGGAAGCATCAACATATGTTAGTTCAATAATAATAATGTTTGAGTAAATAATTAATACACTTATAAAAATAAATAATTCATCCGTCGTGCTTAATGAAATGTATTGAAGTTATAATGACGGGTTTTAACTTGATGATAAAAAAAAACCTGGAGTTGTAATATGTTTGTTTTGGAGTTAACGGTATGATAACAACTAGTTACAAAATTCTGTAATCTATAAATAAGACTGAAAAATTGAAAATTGTTTAATAGAGAAAATCTGATAAGCAACTCAATGTATCAATTACATCAATATTTAACGTCTCCACCATACATACAGTGCACTTTTTTATGTTCAGTTTATATCCAATTTTAACACGGATGTTTCATGTAAACTTGTGAGATGAAAGTTCTTTCACCAATTACAACAGGTGTGTTACATTTAATTAAGAAAATATGTAAACACAGAAAACGTAATACGAAATCGCAAACTAAGCATTTTTTCAAAATGTCTACCTAATCATATCATAGAAAAACATTAAAACAATATTGCAATATGCTCATTACACAAGAAAGAAACTATTTGTTACGCCCTGGACGTAATGTAAGAATATATATATTTGTCGTTTTCCTATATACACTTTTTGTTTTCTTTAATTTCAATTTAATTGTATATACAACGTTTTATACAACTTTTGTGGCATATAACGAAGTCCCTGTTAAGTGTTAGGAAATAATTGTTTTACGTTATAATTTTCACAGGAAGGTTTAAGTATGGGCGAGGAAATATGATCAATAACTGGTGTCCAGGTAGGACAAATGTTTAAGCTTACCGTTTTATACAGTATTTTCTTTTTTTACATACTGATCTTTGAATATCTTTTGGTCGGTACTTTGATTTTCTTGATAATAAATATAAATATATTCCGTAGATATGTATACTGCTATACACGTATGACCACTTATGGTCCTTAATTTCGATTCCTAAAATTGTAGCATTGCGCGAGGTTGCACTTATTTTACGCTTGATATTTTTGTAAATGAAAAGATGAGTGATTCATTAGTAATAAATGGCTTTGAAATACTTTTCAATAACGTAAAGTACTCCTAAATTGATATCTTATGCATTTAGGTCCAAGTGTTTTCTGCTTCACCACTGTCCTATTAGGACGAGATTTTGCTGCGCGTTAAATATTTAATCCCACCATATTCTGTATACGCATGTCCTAAGTCAGGGTTTATTTTCGTCCATCAATTTATCATTTAATGGGTTGTTGTATTTTTTTTGGATATTTTACATTTTGTCATGTTGAAGCCTTTTATAACTTATACCACGTGGCACGGTTTTAAATATTGTTTAATGTCGTATGGTGACAAGCAGTTACTTATTTATATGTCATTTTGTTTATTTATGGATAGTGTGTCATTAGCGATAAAACACATTTTTTTAACCTTATTTTTGTATTAATAACAACAAAAATCACAAATGCAACTGTTTTAAATCAATCGAGCCATATATGTGGCTTTCGCATGCATCGTTGAAAAAAAATGGCAAACAGGAATGTTTCGTGCCCAAGAATTAAAATCAATTATTCAGTTTATATAAGTATTATGATACACTCGATGACGTCATACTACTTGATTTCAAAGAGCTGAAACATGCCATTATCGAATTGCTATTTGTATATTGCTTCAAATTTTAACAATCGTTCACTTTCGATATTGTTTCTTTATTATGAAGAAAACAATCATATAATCATTTTCATGTTCTTATTGTTCTTTCAAAAATTGTACCTTCTGCTTTTATGAAAATATACAAACAGTTTAAATTCAAATACTTTTATAAAGCTAAAACGCTTTAAACAAGTTTTGTTAATTTCATACGCACATATTTGCAAAAAGTAATATGATTAAAATAATTGGTAATAGAAAATACACAAAGAACTATCACACCTATTAAACTGTAAATAACATTTAACCTTTTAGTTGCCAAACCTAAAGACTGTGGAGAGATAGACCCAGTACATTGTAAAAGTGGAGTTTATACAATCTTCCCGCCAGGACTTAAACCATTTGATGTTTACTGTAAACTGACCAATCAAGGGAAAGCTTGGACGGTGATTCAATTATATAGTACTTTTTAAATACTGAAGATTAATTTTTTTTCGTAGGTACCAATTTTCGGGGATTAGGGAAAACTTGCATGATCGTGGATACTTAATTTCATGGATTTGCTGAAGTCAACATACAAGCTAGCCTATAACAAATGTGTCATTCGTTGAAGATTTAATTTCGTGATACAACTGTACCCACGAAATTCACAAAAATTGGTATCCAACGAATATTATTGAATCCACAGTATAGTATATATTATACAACCTTTTTTGTCCATAAACGATTGAAAAAAAAGTATCCGTCTGAGATTCCAAACAATTAATGATTAAATGTAAATAATATAAGGCAAATGGTACAGTGTCCTTTATAAAGACTGTTGAGTAACAAATCAAGACGTTTAAGTGTACATATTCTTAATTATTAACAACAAGTCAGTTAGTAAGGTAATATAAAAGAAATATGTTCACAAATAATCTGTAGTTGTTAGTTCATGTGTGTCATATTTGGTTTTCGTAAATTGTTTTGTCAAAAATTAGGTCGTCAGTTTTCTTCATTGAATTGTTTCATATTTTTCATGGCGGGTTCTTTTATTGGCCGACTTTATGGTATGGGTATTTCTCAGTGTTTTAGATCGTTCGGTTGCCTTTAATTTATTATATCCACTTCATTTGAACTTTGGCGGATAGTTGTCTCATTGGCAATCACATCACGCATCCTTATTTTCATATTTACTTCATATATAAATGTTTAACAGTAATGATAAAAAAAAAATAGCAGACAGAACAATAAACCTCATTAACTTTGATTTTATGACCAACACTTCAAGAAAATATCGTACCAAGAAAATCAAGAGGGCAATTCATTGCTTGATCAGTTTCATTGTATCAATAACATGGTATTGATATCGTATTCAGGTTATTCAAAGACGATTCGATGGAAAAATAGACTTCTATAGAACCTGGAAAGAATATGAACATGGGTTTGGTAATCTTAAAGGTGAACACTGGCTTGGTAAGTTCAAATTAAAAAAAAATATTCTCACACAAATATCCTCTTATCGGGTATGTTATAAACAAATTAAAGGTAAGTGCCTTTTGTTAATATTTAGAAAATAGCAAATGACAAACGTATGATTTAAAGGGGAAAAAGATAAGACGTGAATTATTCCTTTCATATTTTTAGACCATTTTACTGGAGCGTCGAATAGCTTGTTTTATATATCCATGTTTGTTGGTCTTAAACGATTTGGTTTTTTAACTTGCATGATCACAAATAAAGTATGGAAATACATTGGTTGTTGTTATGTGATTCAGTTGCTTAAAAGGGCACATTATTAAAATAATCAGTGGGTCTTTTTCTCAACGTGTGCATTGTTTAGACAGTGTATCAACAGTTTATTTTTATCAAAATTAATTTGTATCGGTTTGATATTGTAAAAGAACAAACTTTGCAGGATAAATATTTTGATATAAGGTTGTACACAAATGATAACATATATTGGTTATTTAATTTAATATGTTCTTGTGTTATTTTTTATAAATACATAAATATATGTAGCCTACAAATCAATACAGTTTCGGACACGTGTGTTTATGAAAATCAAAAGCAGTTTTCGACACATTACAATACATGATGCATACTCTTATAATTTTCGTTTTTCGTTTTTCAAAAATCAAGAATGGTGAGCATTTATAATTATTATCATGATAGTTATAAATTCACTGTTTATTAAACTTAGACATTTTTGAAAATCTAAGGATTGTCCATCCCAGGAATATATTACCTTAGTGGTATTTGTCAAAACATTTTAGAATTTTGTGTTCCAAAGCTCTCCAACGTCGTTCGTTATTGGTCGTTATTTGAACATTTTAACTCTTTTTATTGGAGCGTCAGTGATAATTCTGTTGTAGAGAGAATACCATTTTAAGCCTGGTATCTATGATGAGTTTATTTATTTTGATTTTGGATAATCGATTAGTCTCTAGTTTTCTATGTTGTTGGTTCTTGACTTTTACAAATATTCATCCGCAATTATGTTAGGTCACAAAGAGACTTAAATTCTCAATATCTTGTTCAAACCCTCGAATAGTCATAAATTAGCTATAATATCTTAACATGCTCATCAAGATTAGTTGGCAAGGAATGGCAAACTGAATAAGTGAAGATGCTCAGTCACGTAGGGCTCCTTATCTATATATAAATTTTAACAATTGATGTGTTAAACCTAAGTAATATAATATATTTTCTATTTATAGGTAATGATAAAATACATATTTTAACTTCCGGAGGTAACTTTGAGTTAAGAATATATCTTGAGGATTTTGACGGAGAAGCCAGATATGCTTTATATAGGAAGTTTTCGGTTGATGATGCAAATTCAAAATACAAACTAGCAGTTAGTGGTTATAGTGGAAATGCAGGTATATACATCAAATGAATTGTTTGATATTTCTATTGATAATTGATTTAATTTTTTTTAAAGATTCCTTCAAATGTTAACAAACAATGCGGTAAGGTTTGACAATTGCATACCTATATGATGATCGATTTTCAGTTTCATTATAATATGTTCTAACGATAGATCATTGTGTGTTTCATTGCCCGTGTGATTAATCATTGTTGTTCCGTTTATTTCCTGTTATAGTAGATGCGTTTCCCTTGGTTCTAGTTTGAAACCCGTATTTGTTTTTTTCGCTTAATCGATGTATGACTATTCAACAGCGGTTTACTTCTGTTGCCTTTTGTTAGTAAAAAAATACACGCGACATGTTTAGATTGTTTCAGACTGTTACATGATATAACATTAAATATTTAATGAGAATTCGATATTATTACAACATGTACAACACAAATTATATTATTTTAAACTGTAGTGTTTTTCCAGTACTAAATTAAGGGAAACAACTCATAAACAGGACAAATTATATTCCTACATATCCCATTCTTGTGGGTTGAGCATGGTTTGCTTGTACATAACTTGTTATGATTTTTTTTTTGTATGATTCCCAGTTTTGCAATCCTATATTTACAATTATTTTGAATGTACTTTCAAAGTGAAAATTATAGTCGAATCTCGCATTATACACCATGATCGTTCCACTTGCTTTGTGAGTGAAAACAAATCAACTCAATATTTAACAAAATTAACTGTATGCACTTATTCATTTTAAACTAATATATGCATGTTTTAAGTGGGAAAGTTATGTGTTTATAATTAAGCAATACACCATTCCTTTGTTACAGGGGACTGTCTTACTCGCCATAATGGACTGCTTTTCTCGACTCCTGACCAGGACAATGACACCTATAAATCTAACTGTGCGGATTCGAACAAGGGCGGCTATTGGTATTATCATTGTTATCAATCAAATCTAAATGGAGCCTATTTGAAAGGTGAAACCAAAATTAAATATCAAGGGATGGTATGGCCTTGTTGGAGAGGATACAGCTATTCTTTAAAATCAACAACATTGATGATACGTAGAATATGAATAAATATTCCTAGTTCATGACACACTGAATAAAAATTGTTATTCTTTGTCAATTTCACGATAAGAAAATAAATGAATTTACCTAAAATTTCCTATATTAACCGATTACAAGTTGTAAGAAGGATATTATGGAATTCAGTTTCAGTTTGCTATATTTAAGTTGTAGTGTATTCTGTATTAATCAAAAAGATGTTTGTGGTCAATGTTGTTTTGTTATAGATCCAATCGCTTAGTTGGTGGTATACTGCAATCCCATTGTCCGTATCTTTCACTACAAAAAATGTAGAAATAATTTGATAAGTGGTCTGGAACTACTTAGTTGTATGGTATAATTGATGTTTAAATTTGCCGGTCATTGACTTCCTGATTGACGATACTTTAAATCGTACAGTAGTCACCGAGCACATAATTCATATTCTACATTTTTCGTTGTATTTAGAAATGATTTGATAATCGATCTAAAATATCAAAATAAGGAGATGTGGTATGTTTGGCAATGAGAAAACTATTTAAAAAGCTCAAATGAAGTAGATGTAAGCGATTATAGGCAACCTTTTGGCCTTCAATAATTATAAAAGCCCATACCGTATAGTCAGAGGCTTCGACATCAAACATATGAAACAATTCAATTGAGAAATTAACAGCCTAAAGTATAAAAAAAAACATTTTACTAAAATCTAATATGTCAGACATGAACCAAGGATAACCACTTAAATACAGACTCTTGACTTGGGACAGGCAAATAAAAAATGTGGCGGCTTTAACATATGTTTGTGGGCTACCTATCTGCGACAGTTGTAAAAATGCAAACCAAAAAATAAAAACAAACTATGCAAAACAATAATCGAAAAAGTAATATGAGAAACGGCAAAAACGATAACCACTAAATAATAAGCTTCTGACTTGGGACAGGCACATATAAAAAATAGATGTCTTGGTTAAAAATGTTGGATGTGCAAATTTTCCCCTAACATCGAACACTGGTGTAATAAAAGAAACAAGAACATGGATGTGTCAGGACATGCTTATGTTGTGTCGATATCTTAAATGTATTGTTCAGAAAAGGGACGATGAGTTATCTAAAGATTTTCATTACTAGCCAACTAATATCCAGCCAGCATTAAACTATACTACCTTACAGAAAAAAAAAACTCCCTTAAAATCTTTCGGCAGTTTTCACACAAAATATCCATTTTATCCCTTTTCCCTTGATGTAATGCACACCATCTATACCCATGAAATTTCCCTAAACAAATTCCGTAAATTTTTGATGCTGTTCTAAAAAAAAACATATTCACGCTTTATAGTTCCAGGTAGTAAAGTTGAAATTATTCCTTTGTAAATTTTACGGATGCCATCCTGAGTTGGTTGACCAGCAGTTTGGTGTATTTACGCACGTAATAGTTTTGGTTTCACTTTGGTAATCTAATGAAGCCATTAATCGGATAACATTATTTGACCAATTTCAGGACATACTTTAATTTCACGAAATCTACCTGTTTATGGTTTCACCGTTAAAAATGTATGTAACACGTGTCCAAAATTAGGCATACCCCTGTTTTGACAGTTCTTTAAATGTCTGGTGATTTCGTTCTTCAAAACATATCTTAATTTGAATACAGGAAAGATTTTATACTACGAATTATAGTTCAGTTTAAACCAAACAGACTACCAAGGATGCGGAGCAACATTTATTTCATTTTGACAAACATTTGATCAAAAAAGAATTCAATTTGATCTGATGATGATTTTTTTATGGAAAATTGCTAAGTATGATTAATCAGCGGATTGCAAATAAAAAGTAAAATCACAAAAATACTGATTTCCGAGGAAAATTCAAAATGGAAAGTCCCTAATCAAAAGGCAAAATTAAAAGATCAAACACATCAAACGAATTGATAACAACAGTCATATTCCTGACTTGGAACAGGCATTTTTTTATGTAGAAAATGATGGATTAAACCTTGTTTCAAAGCTAGCTAAACCTCTCACTTGTATGACAGTCGCATCAAATTTCATTATATCGACAACGATGTGTGAACAAAACAAACAGTCACCATAGGTAAAAATGTCAAAAATAGGGACACATCAGTCAACAAAGTGTTGTTATCTTAATCACTATAAAACAAACAAATGTGTAACAAAGAAGCACAATAAGGCATATAGACAAAGCATATTAGCAAAAATTAAAGACAAGAATACACAAATTCACCATCGCACAATAACACAATGACGAGATGTATAAGTACAGAGCCACGTCTATGTGTATCAAAGAAACATAAAAAGGCATATAGACAAAGCACATTAGCAAAAATGAAAGACAAGAAAACAAAAAAGTTTTACAATAGCACTATAACGGAATGTATAATTACAGAGCCAAGTCATATGTGTATCAAAGAAACACAAAAAGGCATATAGACAAAGTACATTAGCAAAAATGAAAGGATACGAGAATTATCATAGAACAATACCACAATGACGGGATGTATAAGTACAAAGTCATGTCAAATGGATCTCAATAAAAACAGACTAAACAGTAAAAGTAATATTCATAAAGAGAAATAAAAGAATACTATAACACGTTATAAAGATAATAAACAACGTCAGTACCCAGAATCTATACATGTACTTTAATACCATCGCGTATTATTTGTGAAGTTCATACGGAATATTTATCAACAAGGTCTTGGTACCTTCCAATGAACTTTTTTTTTTAGAAAAATGACGAGACGTTCTTTGACATACCCCTGGTTCATCAACTTTCTGCGCAGACACTACTGACGTTTTACAAAATCTGAGTCTGAGTAGGAGCTGCAAGATCTTAAATACCGAAAAGGTTAGGAAATATATAAGCGATATGCAGGTGAAGTTGGTATATTGCTACTAAGGTGGGGAAAATTAATAATTTCAAAATTAAAATCGTATCGTTTGTCATATATTCTGGTACTGAGATGATCGTGTATGTCAAATTTGAGGTATAGGTCTAAAAATGAGGCGGAGGAAGCCGTGTCTGCTGTTTCTTTAATTTCAAGATCTGAGGGATATATCAATGGAATCCAATCAGAAAAGTTTGGATTGTTAATGGTAAGAACATCATCAATATATATGAACGTGAAATTAAATGACCTGGCTTATTATTCAGGCTTGAACTTTTTTATTTTCATCCCTTCAGAAGATTGAAAAATAATGAAAAGAAAGATTCTACTATTGTTACATTGTGGATATGACGGAATAATTTAATGCGCTATACCAACGGCTGCACGGACACAGTGCATGCTCAATATTAAACACAAATCAATTACACAATGATGAGACATTAACAGCTTGTCATGTCTGCCATTAATATAACTCGAGTATCAATACTTTTTGTCAGAATGTATTTGTTGTGTTATCCACCTTTTCCATCCAGAAGTGGTTTGATATAAAGTGATACTTTGCGTTAAGTCGCGTAATAGATTTCCAAATATTCAGCGCAGTCACTTTCTCATATTTTACTTGAGTTCTTCCAGGGTACACACAGTTTTGTATTACTTCTTTTGACTTGCCATTTCGGTTTGCACTTTTTTATGACAGACCATCTTCAGAAAAAAGTTATCTATTGAGTATTAATGTTTTGCTTGTTACATATAATTCAAACATTGAAATTCATGGTTATATAATTCGGTGAATATCGCTTCTTCTTCTGCTGATTTCCCTGGCATTCAACAAAAGCAGTTGCAAATAATTATTCTTTTGTTGGTTAATAAGCCTCATATTTTTAGAATGAACAAAGTAATCAAGTTTAAACACTGCATACGAACAAACTATAAGTAAAATAAAAACCAATTGTTCAGAGAACAATTGAAGGTCTTTCCACTCATAAAGATCTATTTTGAAATAGAACTATTAAAATTTGGTTTAAAATATCATATTCAGCGTATAATGATAGTTTATTGTACACTGATTCCAAAAATACATGGTTTCTATACATTTTTTTCAAAATAAGGGAGATAAATTGTTAATTCCGGTTTGAAAAATGTCACTTCCGGTTTTATTTGATAGTTTACTTGATACTGATTCCAAAAATATATGGTTTAATATACTTTTACATTAAATAAGTGCAAAAAATAGCTACTTCCGGTTTACACAAGGTCACTTCCGGTTGGCTTTTCAATGGTCAAGTGGCTTGCAACGTAATGCAGAAAGTCCTATGGCTTTATCACGTATACTAACGAGGAAAAAGCAAAGGTCAAAATCTAGAACGTCAAATTTACCTATAACCTTTAGCTCAATTTCAAGGTCATAAACCGAGGGCTTCAAATCAAAAGACCATAGGTCTTAATTATATATGGTTAATGAGTTATATCACTTTACGCCTAATTTTTAACATAAGAGGGGAGAAAACTCCAATCTAATGTTAGCGTACCATTTCAACCAAAATGTATGTGTTACGACATGTCGCAACTTACAATTTAGTAAAAATATCTTGTCGATATCTTATACGGTTTTTGAAAAGAAGTGAAAATAAGCCAAAATCAAAATTTAAAATATGACCTTGACCTCTGACCTTGACCTTATTTTCTTTTTTTTGGACCAAGGACCTCAAATCAAAAGATCCTAGGTCTCTATCACTTATGGTTTACAAGATAGAAATGTATATCACTAATAATAAACGCATAAGGGGAAATAACTCTCATATGGAGTGTTCATATCGCTTCGGTCAAAATAGGACAAATCATGTGAAGGATATAACGAGCAATTTTATAAAATAAATTTGTCGCTTTCTTTTACGGTTACAGAGGAGATGCAGTCACAAGGAAAACAGTGTTCGGGGAGATAACTCCTACAAAGAAAAGTATTCGGTTACGCAGGGTGAATTTCAAAGGCGCATAAACTGTTCGATATCATATACCAAACATCTAAGCGACATCTTGCGAAACAAAATTTATACGCAAGAAATAAAAGTGGCGGAAGAAGAAAAAAAATAAAAATAATAATAATCAGAACAAATACAATAGGTCTTTCCACCGAAAAGTGGAAAGACCTCATTAAAGTGTTCATTTATACTGCTGCAATCATTTTATTGCTTATGTCATAATCTCAAAATGT